ATCTTAATTTCTCATTGATTGAACTGTTTGAAAAAGAAGAAAAACAGCTAACATGAAGTTCAGATCTCAAACTGATAAAACAAGCAATTTATATCCTAATTTCTCACTGATTGAACTGCTTGAACTGTTGCGATTAGTTGCGCCATAACATTAGCATACTGGACGGCTGTGTGTTGAGGAGTGTAGTAATCCGACAGTCCATATTCTGCAAAGTTTGGTTCTATGTGCATGAAACGACCTGGCAATGAACTTTTTGACATGGCTTCTTGCCATACCTCGAAGAATTCCTCCATCAACTGTCTTGATTTCTCCATTGAAGAAATTGGGAGATACTCCATCTGCAATATACAGGATTTTAGTACATTATTGCATAACTATGACACGAGCAATATATGATCTGGACTGTCCTAAATGGTCCTCCATTCAAACAGCAGCTAAAAGCAATTTTCGTAATTGCAGCACAAAAATCTAACATGCGCACATTTGACAGAGATTCTATGTTCTAATTAAATCCCACTTAAATATGATTCTTACTCCCCAGAACTAACAATACAATACATCCAATATGATATACATTAGGGTAGGTTAAAACCAAATTACAGAACTGAACCATAAATTTGCTCGAGAAGTTTCAGATTTCCAACTTCAGCTCCATTCTCGGAGGGAGGCTTCATAACAGTTGCTTAGTTGCTAGCATATTCTATTTGGACTTGGACTTGACAATACAATAAAGAACATGGCAATGTGTTTTTGAAGAACTATATGGAAGGGGAAAAAGGATAACAAGAACAGATGATTGAAAGGTGATAGGCAGTCTATCTCGCTTTATTCCGTTTAAGGATGAGCACAACAATGAAGTCCACCCCAAGGAACGACCAAACCCTCTTTCCAAGCATCCAAATGAATTGAAAGACACTTTCCAAACTGAATAAAATCACCTATTTGAAAGTAATTAACTAATTCATGTGCAACAATAATAAAGATGGGCAAGGCCAAATAACGACTTCCATGACTACTCTTACACAGGCTTGCAAGGATATATTAACTAGATCTCACTACTTCTCACCATAAGATCGCAACCTTACATAAACGTTTCAGAGAAAATGATAGTTGATACTTCTATCAGATGATTGGCCTTTTTCTTCCACTTCATTGTTTATCAAAATGAGAACAACAGAGGCCATGTTAAGCATTAAGATAAGTTGAATCAATACTTCCTGTACCAAACATTGTTTTGACACAGCCCATGGGAAAGAAACTGCTCGCTCAGATAAAGAATATTGACATAAAAAACCAATAAGAAGAGCATGCAATTGTTAACAGACAAGAAAAGAGTTATCATGAAATGATGAAATGAGCCTTACCTCCATAACTATTCCTCTCAAATTCTCAGAATGGTTGGGAACAACTTTTCCCACTCTCAGTTGGAAATCCCCTAATTGGTATTGGAACCCCTAAAAAATAATAAGGTAAACTGTTTGTAACCAAAGATTTATCGATCTCACACGAACTAAAACAAAAGGGCAAAAGATCAGACACCAGAAAGCCACAAAAATCAACTTCAATTTTGAATTTCTGGACATGGGAAAGTGCAGTTTACATGAGAACTAGAAAAGTTKGGTGTTGAACCTCGAAATTGAGAGCAACGCGCAATTTGTAAGACTGCAACTTCTCCATTATAGTTTGAATCGTAAAATCAGCTTCTAAGACGATCCGTTGGCCACGGATTATAAGATAATACTTGTTTGGTTGCTCCGGCAGCGAGATTCCGAGAAAGTCGCGCGGGAACTCGGCCGCCGGTAAGTTTTGGTCTGCTGACAGATTTAAGATTCATTCGGGTAATTAAATCCCGACGGCCACAGCCCCCTCTCGAGAAAAAG